TAAACCACTCACTCTGGAGAATTGGAAAGCATGTGGATGGAACATGCCAGCGCTGTACACATGAACCAGAGACTGTAGAACATGTCCTCCTGCACTGTGATTATTTTAGAGAGCAACGAGTCTGCATGTCAACAGCTGTTGCAAAAGAAACACGCCCTTTTAATTTAAAGACATTGCTAGATCAACCGTCTGTAAACATCTGCAAACGTCTAATCCATTTCATCAAAACCACTGGACTGAAAGATCGTATTTAAACTGCTGATTCTAGCTTGATTCCAATGGTCCACACACCCCAGTACAGTAGGTGGCGGTAATACTCCTTTTTTTTTTTGGTTGTCAACCGCCAAAAAACAGCAAGGAAGAAGAAGAAGAAGCTGTGTCACTCCCGTATTCGTCCCGGAAACCGGATTCGTCCGGAAGTTCAGTTTGATCCAATGAGCAAACGCAGCAGTAGATTACGTCACGGAATCTGGACGGAAGCGGCAGTAAATATAAAAAACTACCTATTCATGCCTAAACTTAACCAGCCATTCCCATAAAATAACCCCAACCCAGCCTTAACCCTAAACTTAACCATCTTAATCAGACGCCTAAACTTAACCAGTCAGCACTTAAGGACATATTAAACTTTTTGACATGCGCAAACTGAACTTCCGGACGAATCCGGTTTCCGGGACGAATACGGGAGTGACAAGCTGTATTGAGAATGAGGAGTCACGTGATAATTTGGGCGGGGTCTAATCCGGTCGGCCATGTTGATAGGATCCTCTATCGGTTGCCAGGGGCAACGCCACTAACGCTCAATATATAGCTACAGTCTATGCTAACGCTCCAGAGGTCTTTAACTTGAGCGGCCGTTTATTATTTTGGCAGTAGATACATCTACGATTACAACACTAGCAAGACAGTTAATGGAGAAAGTGAAGGCGAAAGGAAATGGACCGTACAGGGAAAAGCAAAACAACGTTATTTGGAGAAGCTCTCAGACATACAACAGGTAGACCCATACGAGCTTCCTGCAGCGGAGTGGCAAAAATACTTTGACTTTTTGCCTCCGTGCACGTACATGGATATAGTGAATTACCTTGTTTTCGGTGTTAGTTATTATACAATGCAGGAGTTTAGAAGTCACAAGTCACTGGAGAGTTACGAGGCTTTCTGCTGTGGTTGGGTGCAGGACTTGGCCATCTACAAGCCTCCAGGCGGTGAAAACACTGTTGTACTTGCACTATCAGCAGTGTTACTATTTTATTATGTTGTCCATCTTTTCATGCTGAAATATTTATACGTTGACTGCACACGTTCTTTTGCACTGTTAACTTTTCCAAGAGATTACACCCCCCCTCCAAAAAAATGTTAATTTCTCAATAAATATTGCTTTGCCACATGAAGTTGTTTCAAACATTTATTTCAAAGAAATTAAAAAGGCAAGGCAAGTTTATTTGTACAGCACAATTCATGTTACAAAACAATTCAAAGTACTTTAAATAAAAAATTAAGAAGCATTACAGCTGGGTGCAGAAGAAGCATTAAAAAGTAACAGAATAAAAAGCATGATTTAAAATTAAAAACAAAAATTCATGAGAAAAAGATAACAGATAAGTAATTCCAGCTTAAAAGAAGCCGTGCAGATTTGTACATTAGAATAAAACATATTCAAAAGCAGCTGAGAACAGGTGGGTCTTTAACCTGGATGTAAACAAACTGAGTGTTTCAGCTGATCTGAGGCTTTCTGGGAGTTTGTTCCAGACATGTGGAGCATAGAAGCTGAATGCAGCTTCTCCGTGTCTGGTTCTGACTCTGGACTCGGATCCAGATGACATGAGGGGTTCTGGTTGGTTCATAAGTTATGAACAAGGCACTCAAACAACACTTTTGCACATGTTCGTTAAGGCACAGCAAACAGTGACAATCTTATCTAAAGGCATTAGGTTTTCACCCTCACATTTGAGAAGCATATGCACAGGTACAGTTGAATGTAAGAATTTGAATTTGTTGCGCACAACACCAATCACCCTCTCAACGTGAATTCTGAGATGGAAGGTCTAATCTGAGGCGCATTACAGTCAATAGGACAAGCTGGAAGGGTGAGAGCTTCCTCATCCTTCCTTGAGGCAGCTGCTGGGCCGGCGATGGGGGCTGCTGGGCTTGGGCTGGCGATGGGGGCTGCTGGGCTTGGGCTGGCGATGGAGGCTGCTGGGCTTGGGCTGGCGATGGAGGCTGCTGGGCTTGGGCTGGCGATGGAGGCTGCTGGGCTTGGGCTGGGAGTGATGACTGCTCCAGATGCTGGGTCCTGCGCTTTACTTGCCGCTGATATCGCGCTCCATCTGTTTCTTTAACATTATTGTGGCCTAACCGCAAGGATGGTGTCCAGTCAGGGTGATTCTCCAACATCTCATATGATGGTTTACCTAGAACAGAATAATCTATGTAGTCAATGCTTTAAACTGGCAACAAGGTAGCATAATGTCATGAACAGAATCTCAACTATTTTTAGCAATCTCATATAATGGTTTACTTACATCAGATTATTAAACAATCTGGAATCTAAAGAAATATTAAACAAGAAGGTGACGCTATTCATGGTTTCATAAAAGGGCTCAGGGGGTAGTGGCAACACAAGACAAAAAAAAAGTATGGGCACCACTGGTTTAGAGAACATAAGAGACAGAGACAAACGCACTTTGAGTGCCCATATTCCACCAACAAGGTAGGATAATGAGCAGAAACTTAAATATTCTTAGTTAGCATTAATGGTTGGCCATTAAGCATTTTCAAAGAGGCAACAGTTTGTTAGATAGTTAGCTAGGCAGCTAACTTAAGATGCACTTCAGTGTTTGCAACATTAACAGCTAGGTAACCTACACTTCTTAACTTTAAAAAAACAACATAAAGACATTTTAGGATGTACCCGAGTGAAAATGCAGAGAACACACTCTCATCGACTGGGGGGTGAGATCGAAAGTAAGGTCCTTTCTTCTTATTGCAGCCAACCAAGCCATCCGGCGTCTCTTCGTCAGGTCAGACACTTGCGCTCCCTGATGTTGTATCCATTTTGGTAGCCTAAACAATTGTAAACCGTTGTTCCTACGTTTTCCTTTCTTATAGTGTGAGGTACTGGAGCAGTTTTTCACACAGCAATGAGCTCCAGGCATGGTAAAACAGAAATAGCGACGACCTCCTTTGCTACCGAGTTAACTACAACAAGTGTTTGCCGCTGGGATCCTACCAACATGGCGGAGACGGGGAGGGGCTCTGTGCTATGACGACAACTCCTCACTCTCAATTGTCTCCATGGTCTGCGTCTCCATGGTCTGCGCCTCCATCTCTGGCCACACTGTGCCCCACACTGCAGCGCTCTCCTGCGGCTGCGCTCCCTCTCCCTCTCGGGGGAACATACCATCACCGCTGCTGCTGCTACACGCCGTTTTTATTTACATTTGTCAGAGTCTGTGGCTCTTGTTCTAGTTAGTTTTGTCAGAAAGGCGAATTGAAACGATGCAGAGATTTTTTTTTTCCCGAGGCCAAAAGAGCCACAACAAAGAGCCCACCCCAGAGCCACCTCAGGGCTTTACTAGTGCAGACCCTCCTCAAACTTTACAAAGGATTTATACATTTTTACAAACATGACATTTTCAGAGGGTCAAAATTCCGCGGATCCCTGGATTTAGGAGAATTTAACCTGTGAGAGCATGAGAGAGAGAGGATCTTTTATTATTGTATCGTCTGTAGTTTTTAAAGACAGTGTAGAAAAGTCCAACCAGGGACATTGTCACAGATAAACCTCAGACACGTCCTTTACAAACTCTTTATCACATGAATGAATGTTGAACTAAGTCTACAGCTGAGAGAAAACAGTAAGTGGAGAGGACAAAGGACAGGCTAACGACTAGCATTAGCATTAGCATTAGCCCCGACACAGGATCACTCAGATCTTGGCACAAACAAAGTTAAAGCTGGAATCCCCGAGGCCCACGTGACTCAAAGCCACAGTCTGTTAGTGGACAATAAAGAGTTTAAAGTCTTGTACTTACATTAGTGATGTGCTGAGTCTTCAAAGTGTGTATCGAGGAATCAAAGGGAGTTTTTTTTTTGGAAGCGTGGGTCGAGGCGGGTGTTGATGACGTATTTGGTGACGTTCGAAGCCGCGGCCGCACCACGTGACGGTTCTCTGTGGGAAAATGTCATGGATCTATTATAATGGCAAATGTTAATCATTCTTTCTCCTGGGAGAAAAATAAAGGGGGCGAGGATTTCAACTTGTTTCATGACAACAGCATTGACAGATGGCCTTCACATGAACAAAAAACTATCACATATTTGAAAACATTTGCAATAATTTAAACCTGGTAAATATCTGGAGACAAACTGATCCTGCTGAAAGAATATTTACATGGAGCAACAAGGACAAAACACTTCAATCTCAAAATAGACTTCTGGATCATATCTGTTAAAAGACAAGGACAAAACAGCAATAGAACCAGCAGTTCTTACTGATCATAAAACAATTACTCTTCATATAAAAATGGACATTAATACAAGAAAAACTAACACTGATTACTGAAAACTAAACTCTAGCGTATTTTCAAACACAGATATATACTTTATATCAAAATCTGATGTATAATGAGTGTTGTTTGATCAGCTCTGCAGACACTCACACGTTCACACGGATCAAGAAAAGAGGATTAGAACATGATGTGGCGGACACTAGGGGTCGCCACCGCCACAGGGTTGGTACTTGCCTGGCATCCGGGGGGAGCTGAGCATAAAATGGGGACTCACGTTGTTTTCATCTCCCAAACGGTTGTCGCCTTGTGGATCTACATAAAGAACAGTTTGTTTATGTCCAGGACCACAGAAGGAGAGGTCGCTCAAAGATACAGGACGTGTGGAGTCCAGAGATCCACGTTGTGGTGAAAGCCCCGAGCGTAGGTGGTCCGGTATACTCTGTTGCGCCTATCCATGATCCACAGAGGGTAAGGACTGTACACCGAAGCATGCTCAAGCCTGTGCGAGATAACCTCTGCCCTCAGGAACAGCCCAGCCCATTACTAGAGAAAAGGATCGAGGAAGAGGACGAGGAGCCATTTGTCTATGTGGTCCGCGGACCTGTCCCAGAGTAGCGACAACAACCTCTCCACCACGGGCAGGTGTAACCGCCCCTACAATTAATGACTCTCCTCCCTCTGCTGTGCACTCAGTGGCCCCCTCAGTCCAAGAGCCGGAGTCGGGAGGTCACAGGAGAACAACCCGGGTCACAGCTGGTCGACATCCAAACCCCCATCGTCTCCCTATTACGTTAGGAGGGGCTGCTACCTCCCGGGTCGAGGGTGTGAGTGGTGCAGTTAGGGCATATTTTAGGCCATGGGATTTGGGGCATTGCCGGGTCGTCAATGGCAAACTAGGGGCAGATTGTGGTGGACACTAGGGGTCGCTACCGCCACAGGGTTGGTACTTGCCTGGCATCTGGGGGGAGCTGAGCATAAAATGGCGATTCACGTTGTTTTCAGTCTCGGCTCCCTGCTCGCTGGTGTCAGGTAAGGTTTTAACTTTCCCTTATTTTAACAAATGAATGGTTTTTAACATAGTTTTTAATCATTTTGTCAGGGCTAGATTATCCGGTGGCAGACTTTCCCCTGGAAATCGTGATCAGAGCATTGAGGTGGGGACAGGTTTGGGTTTTTAACTTGGTTTTTAGCCAACATATTTTTAGTGGTAGGGGAAACCGGAGTACCCGGAGGAAACCTACGCAGACATGGGGAGAACATGCAAACTCCACTCAGAAAGGCCCTGGTCCGAACGGGATTCGAACCCAGGACCTTCTTGCTGGGAGGCGAGAGTGCTCTCCACTCAGCCATCGTGCCGCCCAGATCAGACAATGGGACAGAGTACACTGGTAAAGAGTTCCAGGATCTTCCAATAAAAAATAGGATCAGCGATCAGACTAGTGCCCCGTATTCACTTCATCAAAACGGTACAGCAGAACGAAAGTGGAGGACATGACTTGAAAGTAAATTGCCAAAAACTTTGTGCTGTGTTTCACCCTAAAACCTGATTGAAATTTCTGTAAAATATGTTGCTGATCTAAAAAGGCATTGAGCTGGGTAAAAACAAGTTTTTCTAAAATGTTGCTTAAAAATGGTAAGTTGGATACCGGTCTGTAGTTGATAAAATCATTAAAATCTAAATTTATCTTCTTCAGAAGGGGTCTCACCACAGCCGCTTTGAAGGCTGCAGGAAAGACCCCAGTCTGAAGAGAGCAATTCACCAGGTTTAAAAGCTCCTCTCTAAAAGATTCATAAAATGACTTAAAAAATGGAGTGGGGACTGGAACTAAAAGACATGTGGTGGGCCTCACTGAGGAGAAAACTTTATCAAGCATCTCAGCATCAACCAGGACAAAACTGTCCAGTGTTTCCTCTGGCGAAGACAGACAATAAGATGTGTTAAAAACAGTAGTGCGGTTGGATAAAATGTTACATCTGATTGTATTTATCTTCCCCATGAAGTGGACTGCTCCTCACAGAGGGAGTCTGTGGGGGTTAAAAGAGACATGCTAAAATCAGGGTTTAAAATGGTGTCGATGGTTGAAAATAGGACTTTTGGGTTATTTTTATTTTGGGTGATTAGTTTTGCAAAGTATTTGTTCTTATGATTTCTAATTGTGTAATTGTATGCTTTTTGATTGTTTGTATATGTTTCGTAGTTGATTGTTGTTTTATTATTCCTCCATCTTCGTTCTGCCACCCTGCACTCTTGTTTCATTTTGCGTACTTCCTCATTTCTCCATGGGGGTGCAGATTTTGTTTTTATTATTTTTGTTTTTAAAGGAGCAACCTGATCCAACGCAGAACTAAGTCTACTGTTAAAATCATTTGCTATAAAATCACAAGGGACAGGTAAAACCAAGTGGGGAGTGTTGTTTAGGATGTCGATAAAATTTGCAGCCACTCCAGGGGTTAGATGTTGCTTCCTCACGGTTCTCACAGAGGTATCACGCTGAATAAAACCAGTGATGTTAAAAAACACACAGTAGTGGTCCGAGACAGCCAAGTCGACAACAGAGGACACACCCGCAGTCAGGCCATAAGTAATAACCAGGTCGAGGGTGTGTCCTCTGTTGTGCATTGGCTGTCTGACGTGTTGGGTAAAATCCATGTAATTAAGAACATCTAAGAAATCTAGGGTAAAATTGTCAGAGGGATTGTCAATGTGTATGTTAAAATCACAGGTTAAAATTATATTGTAAAAATTGTATAACTGTGATAAAAACGCTTTGAATTCATGAATAAAAAGGCTGCACTTTTTAGGTGGCCTATAAATTATTTAACATTTTGGGGTTGCTAAAAACAAGAGAGTGATACTCTTGTTTTGAAAGAAAAGCTAAAATTGGGAGGGGGCACATATTGTCCCTCTTTTTTTTCAGCTTTCTGGTGATTTCAGTAAAACTTCCCTCTACCTGGGGATTACAGGGGAACGAAACAAGCTAAAAACAAACTTCAGATAGTCATAGCACACAATATTCTGTGGGTCTTGAAAAATCAATAAAAATCATCAGAAACTGCTGGCAATATGGGAGTACCTGTTCTGAAATAGGCTGGCATGCAATGAGTTAAAAACATACCATCCAGTTCGTGTTCTAAAATCAAATCATTAACAGTAAAAGTCTTATTTAAAAGGGAGCGTACATTTAAAAGGGCAAACCTGATGGTAGATGGGTTCTTACTATTGATGGGGAGTCCAGAGTTTGAAGTGGGGGGAGCAGAGGATGAGAGAGGGCAGGGGGAAACAGTGATGAGGTTGGTGAAGGACGGTTTCCTGGGTTTGGACGGTCTGTAGGGGCGGGGTCTGGACAAAACTAATTTTGTGCTGGGGAGGAGAGCAGGGGTTGATGCTGGGGCACAGACGGGCAGGAGGGATGTGGGATGTGGGGGTGGGTTGTCAGAGGTATGTAGGATGGGATTGGACTTCGTGGGTGATGTTGGAGATCAGGTACCGGTTGCCGAGTTGGTTGATGTGAAGTCCGTCGGGTGTGAAGAAGGGGTAGCGGTTCCAGAACAGATTAAAATTGTCTAAAAAAACAAAGTTGTGATGGAGTGATTTTTGATTGAGCCAGGTGTTGAGTGATAAAATCCTGCTAAAACGCTCCCTGCCGCGGTTCAGAGTGGGCAGAGGACCAGGAACAGTTTATCCTGAGTTTGATAAAAGGTTAAAAAGATCCTTAAAATGGCGTTTTGTGGTCTCGGATTGGCGGAGTGAAGCGTCATTTGTGCCGACATGAATTATGATCCGGGTTATTGTGGAGGGTGCTGTCTGTAAAAGTGCGGGTAATTTAATGAGGATGGTGGGGATTGTGGCTCCAGAAAAACAGTGTGTGAAACTTGCAGTGTCTGATAATAGAATCCCCCACCAGGAGCGTGGTTGGTGCAAACAGAGGCCGCGGAGGGGAGGGTGTGACTGGGGTGGGACCTGGTGGAGAGCAGGGGACAGGAGAGCGCTGGGGGGTGCCCGGAGCGGAGCCGCCACGAGTGACAGTGGAGCAGGGTGGAGGATCCGGAGACCGAACTGACTCCACTGCGGCAGGGTTGGTGTTGGTGGTAGTGTGGGCGAATGTGGGAGAGCCGCGCACCGGGCGGGGGGATCCACCAGGAGGCGAGGTGGCATCCCGTGGGAACTCCGCGCCGTTCAACTGTGCAGACACTCCCCCGCGGGTGAGGCAGCGTCCACGGGAGGACTCTGCGCCTTGCTGTAGCGCAGAGACCCCCCCCCGCGGCCACCTCAGCATAGAACCTGCTCTGTGCAGCGCCTCTGGGGATTCCCTCCGCGTCAGAGCACACGGACCCTCCCACAGCAGGGACAGCGCTCGCGGAGGCCCCGTTAGGGCACAGAGATCCCCCCGGGGCTTCCCGCAGTTGGTCCTGCGTGACACCCGGGGAGCCCCGTGCTGTTTTAGAGCGTGGAAAGCTCCCCGAGCGTCTGTGCACAGCCTCTTCCACCAACCTGCGGCGTGAGGACACTGTGGACGTTCTGTGGTCTCCAGGCTTCTGCTCCGTGCTGCTCTGGATATGGGCAGCAGGCTCCGGGACTGAGGAGGAGGGAAGAGCACCGGGAGGGACAGGAGGAACAGCCGCGACCGGGGAACGTGAGGTGAGGACCGGGGTAGAGCAGGATGAGGGGTGAGGACAGGTGATTGGATCCCAAAGTGCAGTGTCGTGGAGTGTGGTAGCGAGCTGTGAGTGTCTAAGTACGGAGAGTGAGATTTGCTGTGACTGTTTGAATGATATGTCCTTGAAATGTTCCAGAAGTTTGTCTTTTTTTTTTCTAAAAAAATAAAACAAGTACCAGCATGTAAAGTGGAAAACGCATCCTCAGACTTGCATGTACAGACTGTCACATCCAACTTTATGCTGATGATACAGTAATTTATTCATCCAAAGCTAATATTGCTGATTTCCAACACTCTATTCAAAATGACTTCAATTCAGTTCAATTATGGCTACAATCTAACAAATTATTTCTAAACAAATCAAAAGCAAATGTTTTGCTATTCCAGAAGAGAGTGTGTCCTGTTTCTACAAATGAAATTAATCTTGTGTTGTCAGACATGTCTACAGTTCCAGTTGTCGATCGGTTTAAATATCTCGGCTTATGGCTCGATCCTTCTCTGTCATTTAATATTCATATACAAACAATTACAAACAAAATGTCCTATCGTTTAAAATTACTTTATCATTCAATTAACTGTTTTAGTTTATCAGTAAGGAAGAGGATCATTTCTCAACTGATTCTCCCCATTCTTGACTACTGTGATATAATTTATCAAAACACCTCTGCCTCTGTTCTCCAGCCTCTGACTGTCTCTTACAACAGTCTGTGTAGGTTCATACTTCGCTGTCCGTCTAGAAATCATCACTGTCTGATGTACGAGCAGCTGTCGTGGCTCTCTCTGTCCTCCAGATGTCAGCTACATTGGCTATTGTTTATTTTCAAATGTATTAATCTCAGTTTTCCCGAATATTTAAAACAATATCTGATTCCTTTCCAATCCTCGTACAGTTTGCGTCATGCAAATCAATCTTTTTGTAGTTCCAAGAGTGAAAACAGAAGCTGGAAAACATGCATTTGAATATAAAGCTCAAAGCGGGGCAAGATGTATTCTCGAGTGTTTGTGAACTCACAAATACCGCGAGAATTCAGCTTGCAGGTGAGGTTAACACGGTGGTGGTGTCCAGGAGTGTGGCTCAAGAACAAAATTAAACCGGGTGTGGAACAGAGACGGAAGGCGGATGTTCTTCTTCCTGTTGCGCCCTCTGGTTCTTCCTCTGGTTCGTCCTCTGGTTCTCCCTCTGGTTCTCCCTCTGGTTCTTCCACTGGTTCTCCCTCTGGTTCTCCCTCTGGTTCTTCCTCTGGTTCTCTCTCTGGTTCTTCCTCTGGTTCTCCCTCTGGTTCTTCCTCTGGTTCTTCCTCTGGTTCTTCCTCTGGTTCTTCCTCTGGTTCTTCCACTGGTTCTCTCTCTGGTTCTCTCTCTGGTTCTTCCTCTGGTTCTTCCTCTGGTTCTTCCTCTGGTTCTTCCTCTGGTTCTTCCTCTCGTTCTCGTTTTGTCGTTAATGATTTGAGAATCATAACGAGACCTTTTTTAGTTCTGCCCCACATGGTACTGTACCAGTGAGATTAGCTCCACACGGTGAGTTCTGGCACCCCTGACTTTCTGATTGGTGAAACGGTGGAGGGCGGGACATCAAAATGAAAACAATAACAAGATTTAGGGGCTGGAAAAGTAATTTAGAAATTTAAATATCTCTGAACTACTGTTATCAGTTAAAGAAGTATTGGAAAAGATTATTATTATGACAGATTAGGACCCTTTGATGATGACAGATTAGGGTCCTTTAATGAGGACAGATTAGGGCCCTTTGATGATGACACATCAGGGTCCTTTAATGAGGACAGATTAGGGCCCTTTGATGATGACAGATTAGAGCCCTTTATTGGTGATAGATTAGGGCCCTTTAATGGTGACTGATCAGGGCCCTTTAATGATGACAGATTAGGGCCCTTTAATGATGACAGATTAGGGCCCTTTAATGATGACAGATTAGGGCCCTTTAATGATGACAGATTGGGGCCCTTTAATGATGACAGATTAGGGCCCTTTAATGATGACAGATTAGGGCCCTTTAATGACGACAGATTAGGACCCTTTAATGACGACAGATTAGGACCCTTTAATAATGACAGATTAGGGCTCTTTAATGATGCCTTGACATGAAAATCTTCCATCTTTAAGGACTAAATCTGCAGTCCTACAGTCCTGTTACGCAGTCAAACTTGGGGTTTCAGATCACCAGGTCACAAGGAGACCACGACAGTTCAATGTTTAAAAGAATGATTAAAAAGTAAATGAGATAAAAGCTTATTGGGTCAAAATGAGAGGAAAGAGGCTGTGTTCTAAAAACTTAGGTGTGCAAGCTTTAGAGAGGATTCCTCTGGGTCCAGGCCTACAGTGCGGGGTGGTTGGCCGCGCGGGTGTGGCCGAGCAGAGCCGCAGGTCTTCATACCAACTGGAGGACCCGAGCTCTGTCACAGCGAGCAGAGAGAAAGTGTGAGGAGAGCAGAAGGTGCACTGAGCTTTTAACCAAGGAAGTCCCACCCACCACAGCTGCTGAGGAATTATAAACACCACCATTGGCCCACAGCAAACACAGAAAAGACACACACCAAGAAAACCACAGCCAAACTTAAAGGGGCAGTGTAGCGACGCAGCGTACCCTGCTACAGTCCATTTCAGATCACCTACATAAACAATAAGCTAATGTAATGACCGGAGGGGCAGATTTACTAATTTGACTCAAAAGGTTACTTCCAACAACGCCACCCTGGAATAGAGTAGTGCCAGGGACACTTAAACACGTAAGGCTCGCGCAAATAAGGGATAGAGTGGACCAGTAGACCAAAAATATAGAAAATGTACAAAGTTTATTTATAAATATAGAAAAGTAAAAGCAAAAGGTGCATCAATACATTTAACAAAGCTCAGTAAGCAGCTCACTGAAACTGATTAAAAATACCCATTTGACACAATAATTGTTACAAGCATATCCTCAACACGGCAGCCCCACAATGTTCATGTGCCCAAAGGCCCTACCCGATGGTGCGCGCGGATCCGCCGCGCAATTGCGCTATAGTCTTTAGCCACAGGATGAACCGGTGGTTGCTGCTGTTCTTGAAGACAAATGGGAAACGTGGAGGGACAACGCAAATGGGGTTCGAAGGGGGAGGAGGAGAGACCCGCGAGGTTTCCAGTCCTAAACATGAAATTTGGGAAATTAATATCCTGTAGGAATGTTCAGAGCCATACGCAGCACAAGAGGGCAAAGCACAGAAATACCTACCAACGCGTAAACAGTGCACCACGCTCACAGATGGCAATCAAAAAGGTAGCTATATCCCGAGTGCCACGCTATGAAAAATATAAAAAATGAGCTAATATATATACATTTGATTTCGTTTTAAGAGTTAGAATGCTTACCAGAAGTTTCTTTTAAACAAGGCACCGCACGAGAGGGGAATTACCCTACTTTAGCTCGTGCGTAAAAGTCACTTGACGCCCCATACTAGAGACAGCGGAAAATTAGAGGACGTTTATACAAAATCATAATTTAGAGACGAGGTGGCTTACCGAAGCTTTTGCGTATGCAGAGCATGTAGCATGGGCCGCAGATGTAAACAAATGGAGCGGAGCCTTGTGCGCGTGCCATGCGCCACAGCAGGCAACGATAGTCAAGACGCGCTCTGGATCAAAGTATCAAAACAATGTTGTTATCTTAAAACTGTGCCACTAATGATCGTGGGACAAGGCTCCACTCCTCGTGCTCCGTGCTCAGCTCCAAAACGGCGGGTGACGTCAGAGGCGACCAAGAGGGGGGCGGCAGGAGGGAATCCTTCCTTTTAAAGGGGTCAGGTGGCACTTAATAGGCTGCCGGTGGATACGAGGGCCTACCGCCACACTAACCAGTGACATGTCTATCTCCAAACAGCTCTAACCTCCAGGCAGTGCCGGCGGAGAGCTTCTCCGTCATCTCCTTTGTCCCGAGGAACAAAACAAAACATACAACGTATAAAACATAACTAATTGTTACGATGCTAATTTGCTTTAACCATTTGTCTCACCATGTTACACTTTAAATGTTAATAGTCATGTGTAAATATCGTTTATTGTACAGTTACTGTGAAATATTAGTAAAGACATGTGCAAAGTGGAACAGAGAATACTATAGTCTTAGAAACGACTTTTACAGATGATTGAGGCTGAAAAAGGCACTGTCCCAGAGGCAGCTTTGATTCTAAATGATCCAGTTTGATTCTGTGTAGAAAAGCACACACAGTTTGAGCAACATTAAAGGGTGGTTCTAGTGCGGCTGGTTTTAAGGCTGATATATGAACATGTTGGAATCATCACACACAGGATTCTAATACTGTCAAAGCTGCGCAGGTCACTTCCTCTTCACTGCTGCTGCTGCCCCTGATGCCAATCACCAATCAGTGGCTCAGGATCCTCTCTTCCCTCTGCTCCAATCAGCTGACTTTATGAAGCACAAAGATCAAAGTGTTTCCAAAGCTGCGGATCACGTCCCCTCCACAAACGAAGCTTCAGTTGTGCAGATGTATTTAATGGTGCAGTTCTGGAGACAGCCGACAGATGGCGCCGTGTGACTGTTTCAGTGTGAGCTCTCCTGCTGTGAGCTTTCACTGTTTATTGTTAGAGCTGTTCATATAAAACACTGTTCTGTGGAGAATCATGACATACATCATAAATGCACTTGTATTAGTGACACTAAGATGCCCACGTGACAACCATGTGTTCACTTCAATTCTCTTTATTTACTGTTATAGAAATATTTTAGTAAAGCAATCTGAATTAACACCAAATAGTTATGAGTGTAAGTTATTAACTAATAGTCAACTCTGGATTCAGATACAGGCCATAATGCTCTGTTGGCAGCAGGTCAGTGATAGATGGAGACGTGCTGCATCATGTCTTTGACCTGGGTCATAGAACAATATGTTCAGTTCAAAAGCAGATTGTTACATATATCAGAGTTGTATCAGCGTTAGGACGTGTAAAGAGAAGCCTTGAGCAACACATATCAATGTTGACTTCATTTATGTAATATCTAGAGTAGATATGTGTTTGTTTACTCTGGTCTATTTAATGTACAGTCATTTCCTCAATCGGGGCAGTCGATTTCGGACGGCTGCCCGGTGGTATTGGTATCGGTTCTGTTATTCATTGTAATTGTGCACATTTACTAATGAATAAACTCACACTTTGTTTGGAATTACAGCTCTGGGTTGTTTACATTATTTCACTCTTGTTATGTGCAGTAATTCTACAACAATTTGGCGTCACGAACAGGATTTTTTTGTAAATGCAGCATTGTGTGACTTTAGACTGCACTTGGTTTAGTCAGTTTTCATTTTAGCAACAGTCAGTAATGATAAGATTAAGAGATTTTCAGACGTCCCACAGTGGGGACATTTCAGTGTTGCATTACAACACAAGACAGGTGAATAGTAAGTGTAGCACAACTCTATACTTTTGAATGTAAAATAATTTGGCTCGGTAAAGGTACAAGGTAAAGTATTGTGTACTCTAGTGTAAATAAATGTATACTTGTATTTATACATCTGTAAATAAATCTAGAACACTCTCTAGGTCAAGAATATGGAAATGGTAAGTCTTTAACACTGTGATGATACTACAGTACACGTATTAAAACCAAGTATATTATAAGTATGTTTGCTACTCAAAGAACATATGAACACATACCACTCGTTCATTTTGTGTATTTGACATACACATACAGCAGCACACACATATATGTATTTACATACACATACAGCAGCACACACATATATGTATTTGACATACACATACAGCAGCACACACATATATGTATTTACAGACACATGTTTACAGTAAAAGTAAGGGGGACATGGTCGATAAATGAGGATTGTGTTGTGTGGGTCATATATGGGTTTCACATTAAACAGTATTCACCATATGTTTGGATACGTTTTTAATAGTTTTTAGTTGTTAAATGGTAGAGACCCCACATACACCAGGTGGTTAGTGTAGTTTTTTTTTTTTTTAACTTTAACTTGTTAATATTTTTATAGCTTTGAGTATTAGGATATTATTCAGTTTGTCAAAGCTCTGTAAGGCTGTGACTCTTGAGGGTGATAAGAGCAGAGGTCTGACAGACAAAACAAACACCAAGGCCGAAAGTAATGAAGTGTTGAATCTTCTCCTTTTGTGGATGCACATTTTTCTTTAACATTATGAAGGTATTTAGAATAGTTTAATAGATTTAACAAAGTTTGTTTAGTTAACAATTCAGGTGGTTTTTCCAACACATTAGAAGGTATATGGTAATTTTCCAGAAGGAGTTTGTTTTAAAAAATTAGGAATAATGCCTTGGGGTTCAAATTAACCTTGCAATTAAGACTGCCAGTTTATACTTAATTATAATTGAGAATCATTTTAGAAGACACTAAAATGTCTGGCGGACCACAATTGGCCCACAGGCCTGGTTTTTGAACACCTGCAGGTCTCCATGAGTTTTCATCTTGATACACAATCATCAAAACACTTAAGTTTATTTGATCTTTAGGATATAGGTTGTTGTTTTACCAACATAGAATAATTAGTTAGTGAGGCCTGACTTATGTGAGAGACTGGCACATGTAGGAGAGCAGACAGCAGCAGAATGCACTTATCTGCTCTCCAAGGCTGGAGAGAGGAGTGTTTTGAAAACTCAAACTGATAACCCATGAGTAAAATTATATGGAGACCATTATTATTATTATTATATAGACTGAGGCACCAAGGGGGGGGGGGGGGAAAACTATACTTAGTTTTTGGAGGTTCCTTGGGACTGTTAACTTAATAGTTTTTTGTATTTGTTCTGGTTGCATTAAGGGGCGGAAGGAAATTTTGAGTTTCAGGTGCATGTTTTTAATAGCGTATTTCTCCCTGTTTAATAAAAAAAGTTTTAGGGAGTTTGTATTTTAAGCCCTGGCAGCGCAGACCCAGATTTAAATGGGGCTTTTAAAAAGCATTATAATACTAGAAAAACAACATAATTTGGAGGAAGAACCGTTGAACTGGAAATGGAAGCAAGTCTTATTATTAGTTTATTAAGCACTTACCAGGGCAAAAAATAAGGCATTGGTTTTTAGACTAAATGGGCCTAATTAATAAACCTTAGTAATACTTAAAACTAGCCACCCAAACAACCTCAAATTATAAAAAGCGTAACCATATTAAAGGAGAAATTGGAAGGTGAAACACTTGGTTGGTTCACGTGGGGGGGCATTCTTTAGTGGTCACTAATACAAAAGTCAGGCATTTTATGAATGTATTGTGCAATTGGATTCTACCCAAAGCAGAACCTGAAAAAACAAGTGTTTTTAGGGAACCAGCTCTAAACAATTAAACGTTGAAAGCTCCACAGCAGGAGAGGCTCACAACTGAAAAACAGGGTCAACCACGAGCGCCATCTGTCGGGCTGTCTTCCAGAAACTGCACCATTAAATTACATTCTGCAACATAATTACTGAAGGGCTTGTTTGTGTGTGGGGGACGTTTTGGATTTCCGGGCAACAGCTTTGGAATAAAAACAC